TTTCCTTGCGGCGGCTATGGTTGTTTTATTTGCAGTCTTTGTGCTGCCTATCTGTATAAAAGAGCAGAAGGGTGATTTGAATGTGGACACCCGAGTGAAGAAAAGTTAGAGAATCCATATAAACTACGGCTGAAATGATAATGAGCAGATGCAAAGCTGCGAAATTCAGCCATATCGCACAGTATCTCTCATCACCGGTTATCATGATTTCGAGGTCCCCATCCAGGGAGTCCAACGTGACCTACATGATCGACCGCAATGATCACTATCGTTCAAGTGCAGCGATAAATAATGAGAAATTTCGCCAAACACTGATGAGCTCTACGCCCTCAGAAGGCCCATATCCTTCTCCCTGAGGGAGAACGGGCCCTTGTTCTCGACCCAAGAGATGATCACGGAGATTGTCTCTTATAATATCTGCAGGAGAGTTAACGCTTCTATTGGTATAGTTACTTCGACCAACGTGAGAGGGTAATATCCGGAACCATAGTTGGGTAGATTAAAAAGCCCACTCCCTTCGGTGTGCTTTAGCATTTTAGGATTTCATCATCACCAAGTGCTGGAAGAAACTATAGGCAAGTCGAACAGATGGACAAAACTGAAATTAAAATAGCTAATGAAATCCTTGATATGACTGCTTGGTCTCCAAAACAAGGGCGACTGGTGTGAGAAGTAGTCCAAGCAAATATCACTATGTGAAAACCAGATCGGTATCGTCGACCTAATCGCAAACTATTCTACTGATTGCATATGCTTCCCTCGTTTTCAAAGATCTCAGGCAGCAAAGACTCACTCTGGCGACGATCGAGACCAAGATCATGGTGTCGAAAATGCGTTCTATTTCTATGTGCTTTCAACTACTAACAGAAGTTATTTGCATATTTACAATTCGACTTTTTGACCGTGGCTCGATCATCTAACACTGCATTCATGGCCATATATGTCAATCTTTATCTAAAACATACTGCTTTCACTTAATAGCATGATCTTGCTTTCATTCAATCTAGTTTTCAGCTTGAACAATCATACTTCTCGCACACGTTGGTTTTGAAAGCTGCATTTTGGCCACTAGTGCTCGAAAAATGGAGGACGAGTAGAAGGAAGAAGTGAAAAAGGGTTAGGATAACAGGAGAGAGATGCACCAAATAAAAGCACAAGATGAGTATATATAATGAAGTTGACATTAACCACGAAAAATGGGGTGTATTCGTTGGTGGTCGAGTGAAGCAAAAGAGAATAAAAATCACCTGTGAAAACTACCTAGGAATCGGTTGTTTTTGATAAGGTAATGGAAACTCGTGGGTGGAAAATACGGTTTAAGGTGCACTATACAGCGTGCGCAAAAATAAAAGTGTAAGATGAATGCAGACATTAGGTCATAAATCCTAAAGCTTCCTCGCCAACCACGAGCAGAAAATGTGTTCAAACGGCAAAACATACAGTGCAAAAAAGTAACTGGCATGAAAGACAGTCGAAATAAAAATCACTTTGTTCTAGGTGTTATTTGAATAAGAATGCAATAAGTGAACTCCAGAATAGCTTTCTTCATATGGTATTGAAATTTTTCTTCATTGTTCTCGTGGAATATTGTGTGTAGAGCAGTAACGACATGATACGTATGATGAAATTTAACCTGAGAAAGAACACAGCGGAACAGTAATTGACAAAAAGCAACTTGGTGGATGACACAGTTCTTCCATTGCGCCAGAGGATGGAGATGAATGAAGTACACGACCGTTTTCAGAATGGAGCATAGAAACGAGTTATCGATCGATTATTTAGTCTTAACCAAACGAGATACACAACGGATAAGCATTCAGCAATCACCATCTGTTCCATCTGAATAGTAGAAAGTACTTCGACTTCGCAGGCTGCTGGAGGTTGGCGAAATCAGTATTGGTCTATTGAAACTTGGGCTGTGAGCGCAACGGTAATTGATTCAGGTTACCTAGGCTCCCTGATAGAAAACCGATCAGCTGGAGTGCGAGCATGACGATAAAGTCACGCAATCGCGTTTCACTTGCATTTCTTCCCGCCCAGGTGTTCAAATAACCCAGACTGAATGACCATGTAGGATTGAAATCCACCACCTGGTCTTCTATTGAAAGACGAGTTTTTCAATTTCATGAGAGAAAGTGATGTCTACTGAGGATCGGATCCGGGACCTCACAGGTCGAACACAAATACACTACCATACATGAATACCAGGTAGCCGGTCGGACGATTTCAATAAGTCCATTCACATTAAAGAATAACCGATTTTTGCCATTTTGTTACAGATATCAACCCTTGCTCACTTCAACCATAGCATGCTGATGAGAACCGACCAGGTTAAGACAGCTGTACCCAGCTTTTCAATTCACGCTTTGTTTGCTCCACAAACACGAAAATTCGCCATGTAATCGAATCCAATCCTCTATGGTCATGTAAAAGGGATATCTATTGGTGCGGAGAACACCATTGTGATGAACAGACATATAATATCGACCGATCAATTTGTTTTCAGGTATAACCATGGGATCAACATGGACTGAAGACACTCTCTATCGCAAGAAGAGTGGCACGCTTGCATTTTGTCTGTGAGCTGAGTCCCGGGCGTGATTCTCATTACAGTTCATTGATTTTTCGCAGTTTTTTTCCACCTTGCGTTTCACTTGTTCTGTATAAGATGAATCTCATAATGCGATTGAATTGTATACCATACTGCTACCTTACATATTTATTTCAGTCATTTGATAGCAACATCTATGTGCTTATAGTTTTATCCACATAGCTTTGCCCACTTTTATTATCCGCACGAACAGCATAAAATGATGACCAGAATGTTGGTCACATTTTCGGAAAACCTATTTCGAAAACCTTTCTTTCAGCTGTTTAAAGTCGATGATGGCAGGTCACATCCAAAAGCCTTATCATAAGCGGGGGAATACATAAATCACATGGATTATCCATGGGGGTCCATGTTATAGTTTTGCCACCACAGTTATTGTAGTATGGGTTAATAGAAGCGAACGTAAAAAAGTAGCAGCTTCCTATACATGAGCGCCTGTATTCAATTCCAATTAATCAAGGGATCTGTGAACACACGAACAAATGGTTAGTTCTATTCATTATAAAACAGTTTCGCAGGTGGACGCATCACGGATGAAGTGTCAGCTCGCATACAGAAAGCTCGGTTGATATTTGCCAAATTGAGACATATGTGGCGCTGTCGCGACATCCGGCTGTCTGTGAAGGGTCGAGTGTATGCTGCAGCAGTT